CAACCTTGCATAGGGGGGAACAATATAGATGGAAACTTGTGTTTTTTTGCGAAATGTTTTTTTTATATTATTTTGGTTTCTATTTGTCACTCAAAATGGAATTCTGAATCACATTTGGTTCGAACAATTTTCTAAATGAAGTGATCATCTATGCACTAATACAAATCATGTTTCAAAATTATGCTTGGTTTATACATTTATTCAACAAACTGGCCACAGTTTATTTTAACAGATTTTATTATAAACATAATTTACTGATGTACATGAAAGTAAACACACCAAATAAAGATAGTAGTCTGAATTATAATTATTACAAGTTTCAAACTTTTCAATAAAAAAAACTTTATAAATATATTAAAATGAAAAATAGATATATTGAAACCCAGTAACATAAACTATCTGAATACATGTATAAATTAAACTGTCACAACCAGGCAGAATGTTTAACTGAAAATAATTGGAAATACTTAAAAGAGAATCACTACGTTCAGTGATACCCATCTACATATGTGCATATGACAGCAAATTAAACACACCACACGTCGAACATAGAATTTAATGTTTACACATTCCACTGAAAAAAAACACAGCATGACCATGAATTTAGTCAAACCAACAACATGAACAAAAAAGACATGCAAATCGATGAAGCCTAAATGGATCATGGAGCTTGTTCGTTGGAAAGTTAGCTTAAATGATAATATCATCTGAACAACTCGCACACACAACACAGGCAATATACCATAGGTATAGGTGCAAAACCAGGTGCAGAATTGAATCAACATCATCAGGGCAAGTCCATGGATGAGTTCCTTGATGGGTTCTTTCGTGGATTGAATTTATATTTCATCTAACACACATTGAACAAGTTTGGTATAATCCACAGAATGTGGTAAACAATTCTTGTCGTAATGAATATCATAATGTAGTGTCGATGTTTACACGTGATTCAATAAACAAAGTTATCAATGGATTAATTGAAAAACAAGACTGCCAGCAGTTAATGACAATATATAAATACACACATGTTAGAATTGTAAGACAATAAAGAAACTCTTGCATCAATTCACGTTACATCAATTTGAACGTTTAGATAACAAAAATGTTTGTTGCTCGAACCATCTTTCTTGTACAACACATATATTTACAATGTCTTACTATTAAAGCGCGGTGGTCGTCGCGCTGCACGTGTTCGAATTTCATGTAAATATACAATGTATTTTACACGCGTTGTATACGTCGCTATGAGTCCCATATCGAACAGGACGCAGCGCTACGACTACCGCCCTTTAAGCATATCCAGTAAAATATAACATTCAATTATGCTATAACATATATATTCATGAACATTGCACACTCGCCCATAAATCTCCTATATACATATAGATTTTCCTTCCTTTCCTTTTCCTTCATTTACAACAACGCATAATGTTTATGTTAGTTATTTGGAAATATTTAATTTGATGAATGGAAAGACACTAATGCGACCTCCTTGGTGGCTTTCCGGAACTAATTTAGCTGCACATAAAACAGGTACATAGTGTATTTACAAAGTATTGTGTTTGCTGCGCAAGTCAGATTAGTAGAGCACCTCTAACAAAGTTATACATATATCCAATTCAATATCCATAATGAAAGTGCTATTTCATAGTCATGGCAACTATGCATAATTAAAAATATGCATGACATGAATAAATTATAATATATTACAGCAAGTTTTCTAGAACCATCAACAACATACACATTATATAGCAGTTATATCAATCACAGACATCTTAAGAGAAAGTGCATAATAGACACACATTCATTTGCATATTTTTGTCAGAGAACTTTTCTTTTATCGGCTTTGTATTAACTAATGTTAAAGTTCAGTTCTTTCATTCAGTGTCATGGCAACCATTGGATTATTAAACCCATAAATCGAGACACTGTCTGAATTGTTGAGTATTGCATCATCCCTTCTTTGATTCATTTTCTTTTTGCTAAAGTTCACCTGAAAAAGATGGATTAGATTAGTCTATGTATTTAAACATTTGTTTGCACTTAAATAAATCCATAAATAAGAGTGATTTTTATTTATATTTTAGTTTCAATGGGGAACCTAAAACAAGCAGCCTGTCGGCTGAGATAGCTCCGCTGTTAGCAATGCACATGGCAATTAAAGAACAGAAGATATCATTAGAAAATGAACAAATCTGAGAGAGGTCCACATGTAGTACCTATATGTATAATATATCAAAGCAATTGGACTTGCGGTTTTC